TCTGCATTTTCCTACCTGATCTCATCACTGACATATTCTTGTATGTTAGTTCTTCGTTCATGCAATAATGAAACTGCAAGTGTTATCTATGGCTTTTGTTGAAATGAATGATATTGATGAATCCTCCAGCGTTAATAAAACGTTGGGCCTTTGCACTTATTATCAGGTAATTGGTGTTACTGGTCGACTGATTAAAATGCGACGTAAAACTGCTAACTGTAAAACTGTAGTTCTAAAATAATAGCTGCAATAAAGTTGTTGCAAGGAAGTTGCTGACAATATTGTTAGGGAAAATATATTCCAAAACACGTGTATATTTATAACGAAGCTAAAATTATGCTTACAAGAAATTTACGTTGCGCGGCTGTTGGGTAGTTGCTATATTTTCAACATCTCTGTATATCTCTGTTTAATGGTCTGGAAAAGAGCATTAATAACAGATTAGTGGTGTGTGCTCATTTAGACAAAAAAAAGTGCGAAAATGAGTTTCACTATTACATTACATTTTCAGATAATAATGAGTCAACGAGCAACAAAAATATTAACACTGGCACAAAATGACGATCAGACGTTACTTTTCCTTCCGAAATATGAAACCACAAAAGGTTTAGAGAAAGCTTATCAGGAAAAATGTCTAAAGATTATGAAATTAAAAAGTAGTTCATTACCAGATGTTTATGGCGTTCAGGAGCAGAAAGACTTAGGGATGTATTTGCAGTGTCCCAATAATCATCAAGAGGTGGAAAACAACCACCATGAATTAGCAGTAAACAAGGACAAACTAAAGACGTATAGTCGTGAAAAAACATTTAAATAATACTCATCTATGTAAACCAAGAGACGTAGCAGTGAACCATTACGATATTGAAGTTCAGAAAGGCATTTCTGGACTCAAATATGACTTCGGTAAAAGTGAGGGAGAGAAATGGTTAGCGACAAATATATCAGAATTAAATACTGAAGTTGCAAGTGATAATCCTGAGCTACTGGAGGAAAGTCAACACAAAGCAATTATGACGGAAGATAAAATAATTCCAAAAAATGAGAAGAAACCAAATAAAAATAAAGAAATTAATGAAAATAAAATCAGCATTTTGCAAAACATCCAAATAAAACCAGAACGTCAAAAAGGAGAAAAAATTCAGAAACGTATTTGCACGTGAGAAAAGCATCGCAAAGACTAAAAACGCATCAGCAGGGATTCGCGGATACTTATGATAGTGATGAAATTGAGGAGCCTTTTCAATCATGAGGGAGTGAGTATCTTCCCTCAGACGAGGAAGGCAATCAGTTACCTTTTATTTTTGACCCATTGATAACTGACATTGAAAGTATAAAATCGAAGAAAATACCTAAAAAATTTAATAAAGTGCAGGACAAAAAATTGGATCAAAATGGAAGAATGCCGAGAAAAGTGTGTAATCCCAATTACGACTGTAATGAAATACCTGTAGATGCCGTTGCGTCTTTAAAAGATGTTAAACAAAACCGCAAAACGTCTGTCCTGGTAAATGCAACTGGGAACGTAGACCGTTTCGTAGTTAACTTCAGTAAATTTGTACAACCACCTGCTCAACATGTTGAATCAAATTTCAGCAGATCACAAAACAAAACAACAACATGTTCGTATTGCTTAAATGATGTCACCCATTTTCCTCGACACTTAATTAGAAATCATAGTGATGAAGGTGCGGTTAAAGAATTGTTGTCATTTCCCCCAAATCACATTGAAAGAAAAACATTATTAGCTGTTATTCGCAGGCAGGGAATATTTGTGTGCTCTTTATCAACTAATAATATACGTCCTGTAAGAAGACCCAAAGAAACTGAGAGTTTAAATGATCCCTATGTTTCTTGTGCAGACTACATGGGTTTCTTCAGGAGAAATTATTTAAGAAGACATAGAAAACAGTGTTCCTTCCGCACTGAGTATAATACTAAAGCAAGAGAAAATAATTTATCTTCAGCCCAAGTAGTTACTGTATGTTCAGGTACACATAGTGATTTTCTTTCTTCTTTACGTCTAAAACGTCTAATTTTGATTTATTTTGCTACATTTGTTTAATGATAAGTGATAACGAGTCATTTGAAGAATTGGTGAATAAACATAAAAACTTATCAATACAAGGAAACAGTAGCTTCTTTCATGAATCAAGATAGAAATAATCAAACTAAAATGAACTGGGATATGTTCAAATCTCGATTAAACCTCACCAAACCTTTTGATGGCAATAGCAACTCTTTAAATAGATTTTTAGAGAAATGCGAATCGCTTTTCAGTAGTTATGCTGCGTTCAATGACACTGAATTAAACAAGTTAATTTTTCAAGCAGTTCAAGGAAAATTAATTGACAAAGCAGAAATTCTGGTAGGTAATAGAACTGAGTTAAATTATTGGAAAAGTCTAAAAAACGCGTTAAAGCAATGTGTTAATTAATTAAATAAAGAATAGGGGTTGGCAACGCCGCCTAGTTGGGCATTACGGTAGAGGTGGTTGCCTATATAAGGGTTGCATCCCTCATTTTTAAAGAAGAATAAAATTGTAAAACGAACATAAAACGATTTGTACCATTGAGAACTCGAGCCTACCTGGCTGTACTAATATATACAGTTTGATTAAACATTATACAAGTGCCTTCTTATCCGAAAATTTAAACACGGCTAGCTTACCCAGCCACACGAAAGCGTTGGAGCTACCACTTAACATATGGTCCTTCGAGAGCCGGATGAAATAGCACGAGACAGCCAGGAGGAAATCTAAGGTGAGTCCGTTTGAAATCGATAAATTAGTGCATCTCGTAGTACTGTAGTCTCGTTTGGTTCAGAAAGTGTAAAATTCTTTGCAATCAATACTATCGATCGATTATAAAATAACGTAACTAGTTAATTCTCGTTTTTTCAAAAAACCACGTGCTTGCGATTTTGACCACGTGCTCGATTGGCCTAATTAAAGGTTTTTATTAATTTAATTCATCTCGTAAGTCGTAAGACTAAATCATGTTACAAGCGGGCGATGCTCACGATAGGGAGAACCCCCACGTCGCCATTAAACGAATTAAAAATGCAGGTGCTCAAATCAAACGCGAACTATCAAGATTTCAAACCTTTCTGAGCAAAGGAGAAACGGACAATCATCCCGTAGAGCTAATTCAGGTGCGATACGACGCAATAAAACCAATTTTAGAGAAATTCAACAGCGTTCAATCTCAATTCGAAGAATTAATATTGGAAAGTAACCCAGATATTTTTTGCGAAGAGGAAGCGAATAATGAATGGGAGGAGTTCGAGGAAAAATATTTTAAACAATTGGTTTTGGCTGAAACAATATTGAAGAGATCTGCACCGTCATGTAACGCCGCGAACGCCCATTGCCAAGCGCCGGCAGGTAACCCTATTCCGACGGGCTGGAACACGCTACAACACGTGGCTGCTAAATTGCCACAGTTAAGTTTGCCAGAATTTAGCGGAGTTTACAGCGATTGGCATAGGTTTCGCGATATGTTCCTCGCAATAGTCCACAATAATAGCGGTCTCTCAAACGTACAACGATTCTATTATTTGGAGGCAGCCTTAAAAGGTGAACCTAAAAACATAATCGCATCCTTAGCGCCCACAGACTCGAACTATAATATTGCTTGGTCGCTATTAGAAAAACGGTATCAAAATAAAAAAATT